GCACGCACGCACGCACGCACGCACGCACGCACGCACGCACGCACGCACGCACGCACGCACGCACGCACGCACGCACGCACGCACGCACGCACGCACGCACGCACGCACGCACGCACGCACGCACGCACGCACGCACGCACGCACGCACGCACGCACGCACGCACGCACGCACGCACGCACGCACGCACGCACGCACGCACGCACGCACGCACGCACGCACGCACGCACGCACGCACGCACGCACGCACACACACACACACACACGGCTCTTTTCAGGGCCATATGATGTGCAAAATCCAACCGGCAACCTGGTATATGCCAATAATGCAAGGGTTACTTTAAAGTACTGTATCCTTGCGAAAAAAAATGGCAGCGACTTTTTTTTTAATTGAAGAGGAAGGTTCGTACTTTATGTTCCTGCAAACAGTATCCCCGAAAAAAAAATGTAGCAATTGTCCATGCACTCCGTCAAACTTTGTAATTTTCAATATAACAAACATGCCCTCACATTTAATGTGTTACAGTGGTAGGGATGCATCACACGTAAAATTGAACTATAGTATCTTAAAGTAGAGATTTAAGCTTTAATTAAAAAAAAGAACATAATTTTACGATGAATTTTCGCGGAGTTACCGTCAGTCAAAGTTGACCAATTTTTGTATAAACTTTTTCTATGCCATATTTCTTTTGAGCAGTGTACTTACATCTCTTCTACATAACTATGAAATATAACATTGTTCTCTTTATATGCTCCCTAAGTTCTGTAACAGTTACGTTATGGTTTGCTGGGATTAATGTTGTTTTGAAGCTAATGCAATAAGACACGCATTAAAAGCATGTTATATGCGCATTGGCGCGCTCCTCGGGTTTGTAATTAAATTTAGTAAATTTCGTAATATCTAATACTTTATTCGTCATTTTTTTAATTACTTTCCAACAGTATGCTCTAATGTTCCTTATATTTCATAGTATTGCATTGACTTTTATAAGAAAAATATGATTCACTTTAAGATACATGCAATAAATTTTCATTTTTCAATAACTTTTATTTGATTTTTATTGCTCTCCTAGCATGTTTAGCAAAATGTTTCCATTAGGATGTAATATAGGGAAAATATTGGGCATTACGAGATTCGTTGCCGCCTCCGATTGCGGGATTGTCCTACAGACCGGAGCGTTCTTGTACCGTTCTGTATACGGATGAAAAGGCTTCTCGGTCCACGAATAAGGACTGTCGTCGGATCCGTTAGAACTTATGCCTGGACAAAAGGTTTGCTTTCAGATCAGTCATTAGCCGGTCACTTGTATCATACTAATGCCGGTGTTTGATTCGCAAGCTGAGATAATTAGACACGAGCTTCGGTAAGAAGGATAAGAATTCAACCGAACTTTAATTAATTTAATCGCCGATCAACTTGTCAAGTGATATTCATATCCTTTAGCTTATAAATGGAGTCATTAATTTTTTTGTTAATAAAATTGTAAAAAGAAAGATCAAGGACAACGCAAAAATACAAATAGAAATTTTGTTGCAAGCAATTTCGCCAGTTGAATTAATCTAGCAGATTAACGTTTACTTCTACCAATGTAGATTAACTTTATTCGATTTAACTTACTTTTTATCTTTTTCTACTTCTTAGAATTTGAATCTAATAGAAATGAACACAAATCATACGGAGTTTGGCCGAAGTCGATCTGACCAATCTGATCAGCACTGTGGTGTACAAATACGTGGTGTATAAATATGTGTCAAAGGAGAGAAAGATCTCCTGAATCCAAATCGAAGATAGATTTTCAAAGTATCCTGCAAATTTTGTCGATCGAATGCCAGCGGAAATATAACAGAATCAGCTAACAGAATATAAGTGGCAGATTGATTGCAAGAGCTGAGCAAAATCTACTAGGTATTTCGTAACCATGTAAAAGTATTCCATTTAAATATTCATAAAACAACAGATTCTGTTCGGTTTCTGCCGACAATCTGTCAGATTATATTGGTTATTTCTGCCGGCAAAACGTAAAATTTAATCCTTGGCAGGAGATAAAGCTTTTTAAAGTAATCTTAAGGTCAAACAAATGTCACCATCATCCGTGCCTGCCTTAATATCCTTCAACATTTGCCTGAAATGTTTTTCTGTGGATAATACCCGATAAAAAATTTTTCATGCTTCAAATATGTCCATTATACGTATTTATACATTGTATATTTCTATACAATTCTACACAGTTCTATGTAATTTTATAGAAATCAATTAGAAATTAAAGAGGCCGTTTAGGACCGGGCATAGGTGTAAGTAGCCAGTTAAATTAAATTATTTAAGTGAATTCATATACCGTATTCTTTTCCAACTTATCCTGTGCGCCAGTTACATACTAGTCTTAAAACACAGGTTAATCCCCGTATAAGTGGAAGTGTTATCGTCAGTGAATTCACGTTTATAAATTATTTTACTAATGCTACACAGTAGCATCTAATATGATAACGCCCTTCCCTCCTTTTCCCCCTTAATAAAATCTTATTGCGAAAAATATTACCCCAGCCAGGATTCGAACCTGGGACCTCCCTCAATCGGTGCGGGCGTCTTAACCAGCTCGACCACTGGGGCTGTAGGTAATATATATTGTTCGCAATAACATATATAAACTTTGTAAATGCTCTCTAGGCCAGCGTGTATAAATACTACAATTTTAACATAGGTCCTTTAAGATATGAAATCAATTAGAAATTAAAAAGGCCGTTTAGGACTTTAATTTCTAATTGATTTCATATTACAACAATATTTCATATTACGAACAATATTACCTACAGCCCCAGTGGTCGAGCTGGTTAAGACGCCCGCACGGATTGAGGGAGGTCCCAGGTTCGAATCCTGGCTGGGGTAATATTTTTCGCAATAAGATTTTATTAAGGGGGAAAAGGAGGGAAGGGCGTTATCATATTAGATGATACTGTGTAGCATTAGTAAAATAATTTATAAGCCTGAATTCACTGATGATAACACTTCCACTTACGGGGATTAACCTGTGTTTTAAGACTAGTATGTAACTGGCGCACAGGATAAGTTGGAAAGAATACGGTATATGAATTCACTTAAATAATTTAATTTAACTGGCTACTTACACCTATACCCGGTCCTAAACGGCCTCTTTAATTTCTAATTGATTTCATATCTTAAAGGACCTATGTTAAAATTGTAGTAATTTTATAGATTTATGCATGCTTTTATATGAAAAATTTTTTAAAGGAAAAAATTGTTTATAATATAATTATAGATATATGTATAACTTTCTACAAAATTATATAGAAATATACAATGTAAAATTACACTGCACAACAAAATTAACGCAACAAAAATTTGTACCAAAATTTCATTCCACTTCAAATAATCGTAACTTCGCGAAAACTTATCGCATTTGAAAATTTTATTTTATTTTAAAGCTAGAAATCTCTACTTTCAAGAGACTTTCAGATTTTGAATATCTCTGTTCCCCTTATCGTGATCTCTTTAACAGTAAGGACGTGTTTTAGCCTGCAAAACTTTTCATAGTTTGACGCGCTTCACGAGGTGCGATGAATTTTTTTCGCAAATTCTATAAGAACCAATGTAAAATATGAACTTTCCCCTACAAATTAAAAAAAATTAAAGTCTACGGTTTTTGTGTGAAGTTATGATGTATCAAAGTTACCATTGCATTTAGTCTATTTATGTCTGTTACCGTAGGCATTACCCAATAAGCACCACGAGGAGATTACTGGCCGGATATTGCGCATTGTGTGTGTGTGTGTTTGTGTACGTGTGTCAGAGTAGAGATAAGGATTCCACATATCGTCCCTTCCGTAGTTTTTGACTCCAGACCCTCGTTGCTGTGTGTGCGTGCGCGTGTGCGTGTGCGTATGTGTCACAGGCAGAGATAAGGACTCCACACATCGTCACTTCCGTAGATTTTTTTACTCCAGACTCTCGTTGCTATGTGTGCGTGTGGGTGCGTGCACGTGTGTGTCACAGCAGAGATAAGGACTCCACACATCGTCACTCCCGCGCGTATAGTATTTTTTTTACTCCAAACCCTCGCTGCTGTGCGTGTGCATGTGCGTGTGTCAGCAGAGATAAGGACCTAACAAATCGTCACTACCGTAGTATATTTTTTTACTCCAAACCCTTGCTGCTGTGTGTGTGTG